TAGTTCTCAATGGATTTAAACTTCACATAGCTTGTCCTGCAGAAGCCAGAGCACTACACAGAGAGTTATGCCATTAGGAAAGAGTGGAGCTGCTCTCCACTCTTCTGTGTGCCAGAAACTCCTGGTGATTACAAGAAGTACTGCAGATGCACAGCTCCCTCTGATTAGTTTGTCCTAATTCAGCCCTACAAACATGAATTTCCATGATTTATGAGTTGCTCATGACCCAGAGGGTTTTGGCATCACAGCTGGGGTTAGCTGCTCCACCAGGTCATACACAACGCTGCCCTTTGCAGGAAGATGTAGCATACCACGATGTAGCCTAAGAGCTGTTCACAGCAGCAAGCAGTTTCTGGGCTGGCAGCTTGCAACAGCCACAGTGCCATCTGTGGTAGCTGTCACCCAACTGCCCTGTGCACAGAACCAAAAATCTGGCTACCAGTGGGGGTTTGTTTCTCTCACTTCTCCTCCTCCCGATGCCAGCAGCCAGCTAACAGCAAGAAGAGTGCAAAGGATGAGGGCACTAGAAAAGAACTATTTGATGTATTTTCAGCACTGTGGTGTGGTTAATCTGGGTTTCCTTTTCAACATTGTCTTGTAAAGAAAAGGGTCAGAAAGTTATCTGAGAGAAGTACTTGATGTTTTGCTTTGCTTTCCAGCTCCTCTAAATCAGGTCGGTTTACAAAGAACAGCCTGGCTGTTTAGCACATTTTATATGACAATCTCAAAGCAGTTGATACTCAATTAATTCACAACCTTGCTTTGATTTTGGATTTGTTATTCCCATTTTCACTGTAGACACTGAGGCAGAGAAAAGTTCAATTGTCTCCCAAGAAGCATGCAATACAACAACAGCAGAACTGAGAACAGGGACTCGGCATGCTGGAGGTACCCCTGGCAGCTTCTTAGAGCCAAACAAGCAAGAGCAGAGCTGAACCAATGCAGGCATTCTCAGAAGAATCTCCCCTGATGACCCAGCCTGCCCAGGTGTACACAGGGAGGACAGATTTTCCCACTTATCACACAGGGTTTTGCAAACCTCCTCACATCTTACTTTTGCTACTCATGTGTAAGGGAATCTATAACAGGACCAAAAGGAGACAGATAACAAGTTGGAAAAGGGACAAATTCAATTAACACCTTCTTTCACACACTATTTTTTTCTAGCTTGTCATGCTTGTCTAGCATAACACCCTTAAGAACGGCCCCATGAGCTCTGGCCCTATGAAGCCAAGTTAGGAAGAAATGTCTGAAGGGACCAAGAACCAAACCAAACTGAATTACCACTACCCTTTCTCTGCAAACACGTGGACGTGTGGTTTTAAGTCAAGGACCTGTTAAGGGCAGCAGAGGAAGACAGACATTTCAACAATTTCAACTCACCTCTGACTTTCTCCTGATGTCTAAAAAAGACATGGGGAGCTTCCCTATTGCTCCCTCTGTTGCATCTGAGCTCCAGATGCGTGCATGCTATTTCCAGAGTCAGAGGATACAGATGTCATTAAATATGCTGGTGATCTGCTCGAGTCTATTGAAATTTTTTTAATCTGAGATCAACACCCAAAAAAGTATTTGAAGACTCAGCATGAAGAGGGGAAACAACTGCAATGAAAGCTATAGTTCCCGTATTGCCAAAACTAGGTGCAGGGCACAGATTATAGCCAGGATTGTGAACCAAAAGTCCAATTGATAGGGGACAGGTCTTGCAGGACCTCTGAAACAAATAAGAAACTTTTCAATACTGTGTTTTCTCCTCATGTGGTAGTAGGGTTATACAGTAGGTTATAAGTCCCAGCCAGTTTTCCTTTTATAGTAGCCTATTCATACACTCTAAATTCAGTCACAGCTTCCACTGTACTGTACTGATTACTATAGTGCTCATTTCCTCATTCTGAATTGCACACGCATTTCTTTTCCCATTTCTTATTCTCTCCTTGCTTGCTAGATTTTATTAGCCTTGCATTACCTCCACCCTGCTGGTTAGTCTCCTAGGTTCTCTTTCTAGGGGCATTTGTGGCAAATAAGTTGGCAATTAAGTAATCATCAGTTTAGTTACTGTACTTTAATAAAATAAACATTTTAAGCAAAGCCTCTTCATTCTTAAATGCATGAAGAATAGATGCAATGGAGTTTTGGGGTGGTGATTCAGTATTAAGTTAAAAGTTAAAATATCAAATTAAAATATCCTCCTCCATGTCAAATAAACTGCACTAAAAATATAATTTCTTAATACTTACTATCCTCTTTCTGGTATCAATTACTTATTGTGTTACTGTGTGCCTAATGGCCACTGTTCTTTTTTGCTTACACGATATATTATAAAGTTCACTGACCTGTAAATCATTTGAAGACTGAAATCCAATTTAAAGTTTTCCCATTTGCACTAGACATAAGTCGTGTAGCAAACTTTTAGAGACTAACAATACTTCTGAATTCACAATGCACTTAGTCCAAAACCTCCTGAAGTTAATATTTCTGCACTTGATTGCCAATGTTTGCTAAAAACTGAAACATTCTTCAGCTGACTAAAAGCTTCACATCCTTAGAACGTAAAATCTAAATATAAATGTGGTGGGCGTATGTGGATCTTTTCTCTCTGAGGAGGCTCTGTTACGAATTTCCAATGTTTTACGCCACCACCAAGCCTCCGCTAAGCCGTGACACCTGTTCAGAATTTTCAGCTTCTTAAACTGAAAATAAGCTGAAGCTTATTATACTTCCTATAATCCCCAGAAGAACTGCAGGACATGGAACAGAGCTCTGCAGTCCCGGACTTGTGGTATTAATTCTCAGTGCCTCCTAGGTGTCTTTCAGTGTTTTACATTAATAGCCACCTTAAGGATGACTAACTAAACAGATAGACTTGTTTCTCTTAACTAATGCCAGTAAATGCTTGGGTTAGCAGGCAGACCAGGAAAAGAAAACCTACAAATTCCATAGAAGGAACACTACAGATAATATGGGGAAATGGCCTATGCTGAAACAAAACAGAAAAACTTAACGTACTGCAGCTTTTAAGTAACTATGTTAAATGCAATGCTATCAATCATATTAATAAAGATTTGCTATTCTCAGATTTGATATATTCAGCAAACATTAGCAGTACACAGTGCTAGTGAACAAAAATTCTTTTGGCATCAGTCTAAAGTCACTTTCTAATATTTCTACCAAAAATAAACCGCATCTCCTAGTTAAAAGCCAAGATGTTCTTGAGGCACAATGCCTTCACAAGAAATCCTGTTTCAGAAGAAGACTTTCTCATTACAAACCACAGGTACCACTCAAATTAATAACAATAACAATTTTGACCTGATTTATTCACACATATCAATCAGGATTCATTTTAGACTCAAAATATATGACATTACAAGGTAATTAGTAAGTTTTTCCAGGTACTAGAGAATCCTGTATAGATATATTTGTTCAAGTGCTACTTTGTCAATATCCTTTTCCACATTTACATCATAGTTTAGCTGCACCTCTACTACCCATTGGCTAAGTTGTATATCCGTCTGAAACAATGAAAACAGATCCTGAAATTAACACAATTCTGAGAAACATAACAGGATTTTCAAGACCGGTACAACATTAAGAAAGCATGACATAAGAGAGATTAGTCATTCCAAATTAGGCAGCACTGATAAACTCATTTCTGGAAATAACATTTCGCTTCAATAGGAGAGAATACAGGTAACCTTTTAAAATCAACTCAGTTGGTAATGTAGGTATTTTGCTAGTATGCTGCAACTGTTTCTCTATACGCATTTGTATAAGTCTCAAGCATCCTGATCTCAGGGATCATTTTGACATAAGTAGTGAGGTAGCAGCTAACTGTACCATGACACAATCACAGGTACTTTCTTGTTTTACACCCAGGGAATATTGTAGTAAGAGTACAAAGGGCTTCTCATCCGTTGTGTAACAACCGTCTGCTCCAAGAAAAGGTCAAATGACACCCCTGCTGCTCCTAGGGCCAAGGATCTATTTCATTAATCAGCATACAGGCAACAAGTGATTGCACGTCTACAAAGCAGACTATTGTGGCCAAAAAGCCACTTTATAAGTAACCTTGTCATGTATTATAGCGTTTTGTTTCCTAAGTAAAGCCAGCCCACATAATTTATATAGGCATCATACACATAACTGCAATCTACCGATAACCTATGGCAAAATGGACACAGGGCAGAGGTTGGTCCCTCCAAAGTGGTTACTACTCAGAGCACAGCAGTGACAGTACAGGATGTTCAGCATCATTTAAAGCTCTGATGGCATTCTGTTTGTTGCCAACTGCAACGTAAAGGAATGTTTCTGATCCAATCAGAATCACTTGGCTAGTTGGGAGACCACATCTCTCCCTAATCTGCTCTCCTAACAAGCTCATACCAGCAATATTGTGTATAATTTTCAATACTGACAGCAGATCAGAAGATAGGATATCCTCAGGAATCCCTTCTTTAATATATTATTTTCTTCTACTGGCTTAGCAAAACAGTTTGTCATGTCTTAAGGCAATGTGCAAATGCAGAGCTAAATAGAGAAAACAATTCAATTTTTTGCTTCTAACTAGAAGCTTATCTCTACTTCTGAGGGTCTATTCCTATACCTGGAAATAGTCTGAGGGGAGTGAATACGACTGACACAAAACTTACTCACATCATCATATGGCTTCAATAATGTTTTTTGTTTGTATGTTTCTTTGTTTTTTATATTACCTCACAACTGAAGTCTTGTTAATAATACACATGATAATACAATGATTCCTGGAGCCTACTGATATAAACTGTGTTTTCCATTTTATGGGTAGGAACAATCAAAGTACAGAAGATCATTGGTGACCAACCTGGAAATAGAATCCAGAATCCTACAGGTTTTAAATCTAAGCACTAAAGTACTTACCCTTTCTGATGGAAATACTGGCAAGCAGCTAATCTCCAGCACAGAACTGCTTTTCCATAGAAAGTGACAAAATGTGTGTGATAAAACTGACTGAGGGAACTTACCTGAAGCTTTGAGAGCAAATCTTTAAGGCTTGGAGCTGTCACTAATAAGGACCCTCTTTTCTTTACATTACAAGCGATAAACTCCCAAGCTCTGAAACACATTTAAAAGCAGGTCATCAGTTTGGAGGAAAAGAAGCACATTTGATATCCAACAAATCTAACACTTCTACGGTTCAAGCATCAGAAGTAGACTAAGCTTAAAGATATGCTGTACATGTTTATTGGCCACTGTTCACATCTCAGCAAATAACTTTGTAGGAATAAAATTGAGCTTTGTATTAAAAACAGAGGGAATATATGGTCTTATAATATCAGTTTTCATAACTTTTTCACTCTGATACATACATGCATGTCATTTTGTACTTGTGCACCTTAACTTTGGACTACAATTAAACATTAACACTTGGTCCCTTTAAGCTTGTGAAGAAAATCCAGTCCCCTCACACACTGTTTTATTAAGCAGCTCTTTACATGCTTACTTTGCGGTCGTGACAGAAGTCTCTTAAGACATTAGCAATAGCAGTATTTAAATATAGCCCCCAGCATTCCTTTTTTTTTTTTCCTGATTTTGCAAGTCAGATCATTTCTCACAGCACAGCAATTCGGACTAAAAAGAATTTAATTTCCATCATTCTTCAAATGTCATTTGTCTTCACGGTACCAGTGCAACATTAAGCCACTACACCTGAGTTCTTGAAGAATCAAATGAATTCTCTGTCATGTGCCTGGAAACAAATCTGATGGCAATCTGAAACACCCACTACCCTTCACCTATCCATTCTGTCTCTCTGGCTGACGTTACTGCTTGGTGTCGAGGGCTGTAGAACAAGCCTTAAATTGCTTGCAATGTCACACTGTTGGCTGGGCTGGCAGAGACATAGGCACGTTTTCCTTTTTACTGCCCATATTAAAAGAACAGTAACTTTGTCAGGTAAAGTTATTTATGTTTTAAATGGACACTGCTCACTGCTAGATTAACAAAAGCTCATCTGGGAGTGTCTAGTACCTGAAAGAGAAAGATCTTAACCACGCATTTGTTTGCTGTCACGTCCTTGTGAAGATACATTAGAATTATCATTATGTTTTGCAGTGCATCTGTATTAATGCTCTGACATCCACAAGGCAGAGTGACCTGTCTTCTTTCTGAAGATTAAGCTTTATGCTGATAGAGTAATTTTAGACCCTTGAACAGCAAGATACTGTTTTAACAGATCAGTACAAGGATCCAGGGCAGGATTTGGGTAAACAAAGGAGCAGCGTTTAGTGGGTTTAATAACAAACAACTGCCCTTTCACCTTAGCACTTAAGAAAAACAATTGAGTAAAGCGAATTTCCTTATGTAATTTATGTATGTGACTTCAAAAAGCACATCCTTAAGGTTTTCCATAATTCACAAGGTTACACACACATTGCCAAAGAAATAGATTACTTGTTTGGACACATAGCTTACCTGGCCTGTTCCAGTCTGTCAAGAAAATATTCAAAGACATTATTCATTACAACAACAAACATCAGCCTTCTGAAGAAGTGAAGCCTGAGTACAGATGTCTGCATGAACCACCTGAAGGAGAAAAATTTCACAAGGCATAAATTAATTTAAGAGACAAATAAAGCCTTTAAGTAGTCGTGAAGCCTGTCAACATAATACAGCACCTGCTACCACCATTTTGGACTTGTCACAAAAAGGGGTATTTCACTGAGTTAACAGTTGATAACAACTGAAGTAAATAACCGGAATAAACTTAAAAAAAAATAATAAAATCGACTTCTTTCCTCTAATTAAAATACATGATTCATTACATTAAATGAAATAAGCTGTATCCAACTTTTGTCCTAGTACAGTGCATGCCATAAGAGAGGAGATGATGTATGCGATGGCTGATACTTTTCATTTATCTATGTAATACTGCAAATACTTATTGATTATAGTGAAGGAGTTAAGCTAGCTAAAGGTTTTTTGAGGATACTAACAGGCTCATCACAGGCTCAGTGGCTTACTAAGGGATCATAGCTAGAAAAGACACTACAGATGTAGGTTTGACAACTAAATTCTTGTTACCAATATTGGGACTGGGAATGACAGAAAGGCAAAATGCTGATTGGCACTGGCTTTACCTTCCCAAACAACTGTCTCCCCAGACAGCATAGGAGCTGGCTTGATTTCATTTTCTTTCACCTACCAAAAAGGATATTAGCACATCATTTCATTTTCAAACAGGTGAGATTATAGCGACAGGAGAATATGAATGCTCATTAACACTCTGACAAGATGTGTTTGATTTCCTCTTAAAAATGGAGAAATACATCACATCCTAAATCTGAGGAGAAACATAAATCGGAACATCTTTTTTTGAGGGAATAAAGCAAAGAATGCTAATCTGCATATTGCTTGCATTCCACAACATGTTTTGACAGTGCATCCATGTATATTGACAGTGTAGAGAAAATCCAAACAAATTCCAGTCTTTCCTGTGTGACCAACTATTAGGCTGTGCGGAGAATATACTAATATGGTGGATTTAACATTTCACATTTTGGGAATTCCTTCCAGCGTTGGGAAGATGTAAAAGGGAATTATTGATTCTGACAGAAAATCTGAATGCTTGTATAGAAGATAAAACATTTACCTTTTGAATAGCTTTTTGCCCACTTAACAATATACAAGTACTTGTCAGGAGGCTAAAATTTACATGTATATCCCACTTCATAAAGAACATGCAACGCATGCTATTCTGATTGACCGAAGAAACAGATGCTACCACCCCTGCAACTCGTAGGGGTTCTGGTGGGGAAAGTAATGACAAATTGTCACAGTTTATGATCCCAGCTGATGCTATCAGAATGCATTATAGCAATTGCAATTATAGCCAAATCTTTCAGTATCAGTAATAGCAGAAACAAGGGTCTACTGTTCAGAAAAAAATCAGCATCACAGAATTTCATCTCTGTGAGCTATATTCCATGGGTTCTGTAAGAGTGCTCCAACCCAGGGAAAAAAAAAAAAGCAAAAAAAAAGCAAAAAAAAAAAAGCAGCTCTCTTTCCTTAAATGCATCACCATGACAAGTTGGTCACAACTGCCTGTAGTGAGCAGAAGGGAACCAAATGCATTATCGTACCTTATCCAGAACTGGCAGGCTAGTGTTTGAAGGCAGTACTTCGCTGAGAAATATGGACAGTTTAGTAGTCAGAATGACTGGTCAAATGGCTACTTTCACCTCTTGTGTGTGGACTTTTGAACTCCTTATCCACTAGTTTATGATACTTAGAGCTTTTTGATACAATTAAAAATTGTCATCTTTTATCTTAAAACAGTGCACTATAAGCTGCAGGAGAACCAGATGATCTTGGAGGTCTTTTCCAACCTTAATAATTGTGTGATTCTAAAAAGAAGCTCGACCATCTAGGCAGCAGAGAAACAAGACGGATCACTCCGGTTGATGTCACCACCAGGAGCCCTAAAGAAGGTAGGTTACAGCTGTGAACTCCTGTCCTCTGCATAAAGCCACTGCTAACCGTAGATAAAATTGACAGACTATGAACTGAGGTGGTAGAGGTATTATAGATAAATACTCAACTACTGCCGTGCTACATGGGCAACAGCTTCCTGCAGTGGGGCAGGACAGACAGCAAGGGTACAAAACAAGCTTCAGCAAGACCTATCAGAGCTCACTTATCAGAACCTGCATTACTCCATGATTTTTAGTGCACCTAGGCTGTAAGCAGGGTTCAGATCACAGTTTCCAAGGCTAAGGAGACATTTTACATTACTCTTTTATTTTCAAGGGGAGGAAACAACAAAAGCACTGATCTTCTGTACAAAACACATGAGCAGCAGCCCTTTAATCCAAACACAAGTGACTGACAGACTGTTCACAAACGGATCTTTAAAATGACAACCTGAAGGAGGAAAAGATTATAAATACACACAGCACAAGAAGGTATATTAGTACTGACGTTTCTTAATGCCCTACTAATGGCAGTCCTCGTATTTTAAGCATCAATTCAGAAAACCAAACTACTAGGGAATTTTGAACATGTGTTGTTACCTCCTTTATTTCAAAAACACTTAAACCTTGAATTAAAATAAGACTGCATTTACAGAGTAGGTGACTGTGCTGATTAAACTGATTTCAGCAGCCCCTTCTCCCTAAACACATCCTTGTTCCTACAAAGGAATGTGGGACCACATGGCCAGCCCCAGATACTGCTCCAGCTGAACCACTTTTTTTTATTTTTTTTTTTTTCAGGTTCTCTTTCAGCTGGACCAAGTCCCTGATCTGCTTGGCTATGTGCTGGCACAACAGAGAAGGCAGCAACTGATTTTAAATCTGTTGAACTATTTTAGTTTCCACCCAGCATCTAAACATTTGCTCCAATGGCAAAAGATGCTGAGCAACTTTCAATGTACTTTAACAAACCAATTCTTGACTAAGATTACACCTTGCTGTCCTTTCGGAACATATTCTGACAAAAATTCAATGGTTATTTAAGAAAGGACTTTTCAAAGTTTTTTCCATATTCGTGTCATAAATTATTATCAGCATCTGGATTCTGACTATTTTTTAAGCTAGTAGGTATCTCTAGAGAAGATTCATTTTGGGGGTAAAAAAGAATCTAATGAGATGTTAAAAGCAGGGTGATAACAGAAGTCACATGACTAAATTAACATCTAATGAGATGCAAGCAGCAAAGTCCTCAGGCGTCGCTTTGAAAATGTAATATCTTCTTATCTTTATGCTCTGAAATGAATACTTCAGCAGAATTACAAGGTGTGAAGGAAAAACAAAGTCTTATAATAAAGAATATGTGAGGACGAAAAGCATGTATATACATCTCCAGTTCCACTGAAGTAACTTGACAAAGTTCCTAACTGCACCTTCAGTCTCATCACAGTATGGTGCTACACAAATGAACACAAAGAATATGCAAAAAGTGAAGGTTATGGATAAACTGGCGGCCTGGGATTGAACTAGGTAACCCGACAATAATGCTTACTTTGTGTTATATTTATGTATGTTTATTATTTCTTTATGGTTTAAAATTGGTTACTTTAATTTCAAATGCATGACTGCAGCCAGAAGTTTGTGTGACTCTACTTAAGAGCATCTGCACATAACACAGGATTACAGCCAGTGTTTCACTCAGCGTACCCTTTTCACCAGTTTTAGCTGGTAACAAAGCAACTGGTATACCCCAGAAAGGAAAAATACAGAACATTTTTCTCATTAAAGTGGTAGTAGTTATTTCCACAACAGGAGTATGGAAACAGTTCCCATATGATATCCTATTATTTGAAACCCATATTGTTTGTGGAAGGTACACATGCACTGGCATTCCAAGAAAACAATTACCAATAGCCAAAAGTCCTTTATGTGTTCTTAAATGCAAATTTGCAAATCCTACAAACATTTTTTCTGCTAGTGTTAATGAAACACAGAGATATTTAGTTTTGTTATTCAACACAGAAACTCTTTACACGCTCAGTTTCAAGGAAATTAGTGGCAATCCTGTCATTATTTCACTGGAGAAACAGCGAAGATGTATCTGTTTTGCATGAGTCAGCAGGTAAGTTCATTCCAGAAAAAGGCTAAGCCATTTGACACACATTATCATATTTTGGTAATTTCCTTTCTCCTTGCTACTTTGAGAATTTATTTTCCAATACAAAGCCTTTGTTTAGGACCAAAACAAGCAAAGGCAGAAACAACTTTTCAGAATGCTGATTTACCAGTTTCTCTCATGAACAGGATACCTACTGTACAGTGGTTAAAAACACACCCACTGAACCATATTATTTAGTTACTTTTATTCTGTCAGTGAGCTGGTATTTTGTAATTGCCATTTCTTGCAACTGGCAAAAGTCTGCATTTCTACTCCACAAAGATGGGATGCTGAGCTATAAAGATAACCCTCTGTTAGGAAAAGGAAATTTAGTAACTGATGCCTTTAGAACGACTTCAACTATTTCAGTTGAAATGGAAAATATAAAACAAAGGTTAAGATTAAGAAAGTATTTTAAAACAGGATGATGCCTTACAGTGGATGTGATGTATTTTTCAAAGCTAAGCCTCTATTTTGGCAATTTCCCCTTATATCTTGTGATTTTTAAAAAGAAATCCAACATAAGAGATCAAAATAAAAAGAAAAGGAAAGCTCCAACTGCACTTCAATTGCAAAACAGATGGAAAAAGGCCTAGGAAGGAAAAAAGCAGTAGAAAACAAATTATAAAAATAGTGTGAAAAGAAAAGACTGTACATTTTTGTTTCTTGTAAGAATTGAAGAAAAAATAGCAAGAGAAACAAACAAACAAACAAACAAACAAAAGACGTACACACAGTCAATGCAAGTGAAAATGGAGGACAATATACCCATAATATAATGGGATATTTTGGACAGTCTTTGTCAGCACCTCTAAGAACAGTATTGCTACCATTTTCAGGTGCTTCATAGAGTTACCTATGAAAAAAAGAGGTATTATCCCTCAATGATAAACCCAAAATACTCAGTGGATCAGTTTGGGACTGAGAATTTGGAAAGTTGATGGAGATGTTTTGTTTTTAAAAAAGAAACAAACAACCTTTCCCCCCCTCAAAAAAAAAAAAAAATCAAACAAAAACAACAACAACAAAACAACCACCAAATGCTTGAGCATGTAGGGCCCTAACAGAGATACTGCTTTAACTTTTATCTGCCATTGTCTCCACTGAACACCATTATTACACATTAGCATTATTGCTAACAATGGGAAAGGCAAACAAACAAAGCTAAAGATACAGACTGTTTCAGCTACCTATGGACTGCAATTTAATTAACATTTTCTGAACCCACTCAATTCAGCAGAAATGCAACCTGTGAAGGTAAAGTCACCATTTCTCCAACACAAGCCAAGAACATGACAAAAAGTAGAACTCTTTACAAAACATTTTTCCTGCTTTATCTTGAGACTATCTTCTACTCTACCAATACAAGCATTTAAGAGCTTCAAAACAAATTCAACAGCTAACAAAAGCGTTACCATTTAAGGACCCAATGCTGCAAATATTTACAAAGTGGAGTAACTTTCCTCATTTGAGTAGTCCCAAAATTAGATTATTCAGATGAGTAAAATTACATGCTCCAGTGTTTCCAAGACTGAGCCCTAAACAGCCATTGACTTTTGTAACAAAGTTGTAATGTGTGTTTTGCATTGCTGTTGGCCATATGTTGCACCAGCCATGCCAAAAGCAATCAAAATTGCACTCAAGTTTCTCGATGAAGTATTTTATGTGCATTTTAAAACGCAGAGCAGGACAATATGTTTTTGGAGACAAATTCATATCAAAGTCTTCCTTTGTGTAATTTAACAGTTTGTCAGCTTCATAAAGGAATTTGACATAACTAATCTATATATAGACATGGTCAAGACATACGGGACAAACTTACTTATGAAGGAGAGACAGAGCAGGAATTAGCAAAAGAGCAGCATGTGTGAGAGCAATATGCTGCCGTGTTGGACAACAGACTTCTCCTCTCCATAAGCAAGATCATTTGTATTCCCTTTTGTGAGAAAAGAGCAAGAACTAAAATCACGACTAGGTAGCACCATACTCTATTCAGACAGTCAAACCAAAGATGCTATTAGGAGTGACCTGTCCAAGATCGAGTAATGAGAGTAGGCAGTCAGAGAAGAAAAATGATTGTCACAATAATAAAACACAAATTCCTGCGCTGGAAGTTACCACAAATAGCTCCGTACCAAGCCTGGAGCCAGCGTCAACCACTACCTTTCCTGTCAGGTCAGGCAGTACGCGTTGATAAAGAAACTTTAGATTCATGAGAGAAAAGGAATGTGAAATAAACTGGGAAATAAGAACAGAACAAAGGTGTTGGGTGGGCAGTGCTGACTAATGTGTTATTAACCAATGAAACAGTAATCTGAAGAGTTGCCATCACTGAAAATGTCTGCTTTCTTGCCTGAACTAGTGTGGGGACCCTGGAAAACCAGGGTTTGCAGATCTGACGTAGCCTACCAAGGAGACTGTCCTGAGTCTGGGGACTCATTCCCTTACATGGAGAATTTTGAAATCCTTCATGAAACTAAATTCCCTTTTTCTGCACAGTGACACACTTCAAAGAAAACCAAATACAGTAACTTGCAGTCATTTATGTAAAAAAGAAAACATGGTACCTAAAGCTCAACGCAATTCATGCAAACCTTTTTATGGGCAGACATATTAATAGCTTAAAATTTAACTCCAAGGTTTTAAGGAACAGAATGTTCTCCTTATAAACTATGCCTTCTTCAATGCCTGTGCTGTACTGGTGACAGCAGTGATCTGTACCACACCACACATGAGCTTTAAGACAGATGGTGCTTTCTACTGCCTTTCAGTGTGCAAGAGGAGACTGAGGTTACTGCACAGTAGGAACAGTTTTCTTCTTGCATCTTCCTTTTCAGTTGTACATAGCTGTACCTCTTCCCTGCCCAGTTTTTGTGGGCAGCTGGGGCCATTTACACACTGCAAATTACTTTGGCTTACATGTGCAGGAATCTCCTTCCATGGGTTAATGGCAATAATTCTGGCTGTGTTTTGCACCAGTGTGCATGAAGTCCTCCATCAGCTGGATGCTGTGCTGTCCAGCTGAGTCATTGCACAAACCAGTTTAGCTGAACTGAATTTGTTTCTCATGTTCCCAAAAGAGCACTTACCTAAAGATGCAGTCTTGTATGAGCCACACTCTGTGCAGTAATTTCTATTCATTCTCTCCTCCTCACACAATGAATCAACGAAAATCATCATCATAAAGGAATGCATCAACACGAACCATGGGCAGTGGATGCTGATGCATCTGAGAAAAAGAACAAAATCTAAAAAAGCCACCTAAACCCAAGTCTTTTACAGTGTTACACAGACAATCACCTCACAATTCTACCTTTCCCCAAATCCCTGAGATCCAAGTGCTTCCCCATTCAGAAGTTGCAAGACAAAATTAAACCACAGAAATCCCACATGTGACCTGGATCATCCAATTCCACTGAAATAACCAGTAGGTGGAAGCTGACAAAGGAATGAAAGCTGCAGGTTTTGATATCTGAGTAGGAGAGCTGCTGTGAATTTTGTCTCCTTAGAATTGCTTGGCTATAGAGAAGGTACAGGGTAATGGAAGCTTTTTCTCTTCCATTTTAATGAGGAGAACATATATTAAGAAAGGGTGATTTTGCTTCTTAACTTCAACTGTCTGAGTATTTTTTCATATTCATGCTTCATGCCTCCATCTAGAAATACCCTTGATTAACGCAAGTATAATTTTCACTCAAAGAGACACCAGTTGGGATGCTCGCCTTCTCATCCTTCCAAGGGGTAAAATTCTTTATCCTCCTACTCCTCCTTCCTTCCTCTCCTAGGTTTGCTGCATGTGGCCAATCCACTTTTTCCACTTAAGAGCCACACACATGGCTTTTTCGGGAAATGTGTTAACTTCCCAGCTATACTGCCAGCTCCAGCAGAAGAGGTGCCCTCCCCCTCCCACGGGACTCACAGCCCACCTCTTTCTGAGCCATCACAATCTGAAAAGAACTGGAAATCATTTCTGGGCTGCCCACATTACATCAACAGCAAAGCACTGGCCCTGTATTTCTCTTTTCTTTCAGGGGGCTGTTAGAGTCTATTATGGAGCTGGCATTAAGGAGTCACCATGACAGGTACCACACCACACAGAATGAAAGCTGTGCCAAATAACCTATGAAGCAGTATGAAGCAGCTTTCCTGGGGTCACAAAGTCGTGCAGCAACAGACCCGAGAACCAAACTGAGATTTCCCTTATCTTAGTCCAGCGCTCAGCCTCTGCCATGAGCTAATAGTAAAACTGAAACCAGCACAGCCCCCAAATAAATGATGCGGTTCAGCAAAAGGAGACCGTAACAATTAACTTACTTTCTGCATAGCTAGATGTTCCAAATTAAACATTGCCTCAGTGGGTAAATGAGGTAAATTCTGCAAATCTTCAGTGATATTTTTGAGCACAACTTCATTATGCGTTACCACAAGCTCATCAAAGTCACCAATAAATCAAAACAAACACAAAACCCCGAACAATCATATGTAGATCATGTG